TAAAGGAAGTATTTGCTCGTGATATTATTGATTAATTTACTTACGTTAATTTCGCTTATTTTAGGGCGAAGCAATCAAAATTCGTAAATTTATAAATACATCGAGAATATTGTATGTTTAAAGTTGTTACAAAGTTATAAAAGCCGAATCAAAATATTTTGTCGAAATTATTGTATAAATATGTTACCCTTTGTTTATTTTAGCAATAACTAAATAATGAAACAAATTGACTAACAAGACTAATTAACTTTGAAAGCATTAACAATTAATGACATCAATTTGGCGCTTATTATTTAAAATTCATGCTACGCATACTTCGTTGGATAATAGATTTTGCGAAATTTCGTATTTTCCACGTACTTTAAAAATAAATGACGACATTGTGTTATCGAAAATTTCTGTAAGATTCAAATATTTACGATAAATATGAACTTCATTCAAATTGGCGAATAAATTGCAGATTCACTGTAATATCCCGGAGCTGCGGCGAGTGCAATGTTGTCGAATGAAATGTCTGTGTTGTGAGAATAACATTTTTTAACGGCGCGTTAATGGCAAAATGCGCTTCCTTTATAAATTTGACGTATCGAGTAGAAAAAATCGTTCGACAATGAATTGAGCCACGCGTGTATCGTGCGTGACCCTCGCATCCTTTCACATATTCCTTGCCGAATGGCCCGGAAGGCCGCCAGGTCGCAGAAAAGAGACACACTCTTCATCGGGAAACCTTGACTACAAGATCGCGAAACGTCCGCGTTTCAAAGCAGTCGAAACGGAGCCTTACGAACCAATGAAGTCGTCTTCCCGTTCATTCATAAAAGAAAAATAATCACCACCACCACCACCACCACCACCACACGGTTGAAGTTAAAATATCGACTCTGGAATGCCAACGCGCCAGAGGGTTAATTGCCTCGCGCGATCCCGAATCAATCACGGGGCATTAAGTCTCTTGGGTCGGACGACGTGGATTGGTGGGGAACTGGGGGCGGGGGAAGAGGAAATTTCACGCTAATTTTGAGCATCGTGAGCGGATTATTTTTGGTAAACGCGACTACGATGCCGGATAAGGGCGGTTTAAGCGTCCCCATTCAGTGTCCAATGGCGCAAGAGTGTTTATACGAGTACAAAGCTTCTGCTGAACAAGCGTGCGTCCTCGTGTACGACGAGCACACGAAGCTGTAAGAGCTCGCCACGTACGAGTACGGGGAGTATTAACGTGGATAGGGCATTTAAATGATCGAGATGATCGTCATTAATATTTTTCACGCTGGGCAACGCGCGCCACTCTCCGCTACTTTTGCTTTGAGCTCGAAAACGAATGATAAGCGAATCGTTTCGCTCGCTCGCTTGTTTAATTCGCCTCACCCCTTCCGCATGGACTTGGAAATGGACTTTCTCAGCTAAAAAGAATATTACTAAAACGTTGTGTTATCTGCGCGATCAATCAATCCCCTTCACTACCGTAATTCATAGCATTACAGAGACGCTTATATTTTACAAACTCTGAAATATATATTTATACAAGTTTAAAGAAAGTTTCAAATGTGGTTAAGAAAGGAAAGTTCAAGCACCGTCGTCGACAAAGATGCTTATTAAAATCAAGCCGACAGTGGTAACGACAGTTTACATGGTGTGTATGTCGCAGATGTCAGATATCCATAGCGGTTTGTTTAAAAAGAATGAAGTTTGAAGATGGAATAAAAAAGAAAGGAAAAATGGCTTTTATAAGGCCCATAAATTCCTTTATAACTTTATTTAATTTTAACTTTGCTCGTTGCACACTTTTACTCTCGCGACATTATACAATAATGGATCTTTAAAACTTAAATATTTGTGTATCGAATGTAAGAAGCACGACGATGGATGTAAAAGTTTTTTCCGCTCTCTTTATCAAGAGAAGACATCGCAATGACGTACCATTGCTTACGCGTTTAAGAAACCGCTCGAATAATAATAATTAATCATTCGCATTGGCTGGCAATTCAGTAGGCATTAATATCCGGCTCCTTATCATAAATTGCCGATCTCGCGAGTTGAATCAACCAATAATTGAAAAAAGTCATATTCGGGGGTAGAAAAGGAGTATTAGGCGCTCATTGAGCGATACCACTTTCTAATCGGATTGAAATTCTAGCTAACATGCGCCAAGTTGACTGGGACGGGATTATTGCACAATCCTATGTAACCCATTGTAATTTAAAGGGGCCTTAACCCGACATAGAGCACGGACGGGAAGGTGATGGAACGCGCGGGGGATGGGGAGGGGGGGGGATCGGGAAAGCAAGAGTCATGATGCAATAGCTAGGAATAAAGACAAAATAAAAGTTGTTGGACAAACGCTTATGGAACGACGATGACTGCGCAGGAGTTTGCGAGTAAGTATTCGAATGAGGAACGCACGCACGCACGCACGGCTGCCAGTCGGACAAGCGTGACTCATTATTCGAAGGATAGACTGGGGGATACTCGGTCATCGACTTCTCAAGTAAGCATTTCATTCAAAAGTACTCTACTCTAGCCGGTGTGCCGTCGACGTTGGACGAGGTTAAATAAAGCGACGTAGGCACATTATTCTCCATTCTCGTGTGCTCTCATCCCCCGCCCCCCCCCCCCCCCCCCCCCCCTCCCCCACCCGTTCCAATTGCTAATCGCGCCCTATACTTTTCCTCCAATTGCCGGTGACGCTCTATATATTTCCTCATTTCTCATCTCGCGTCTACCGACCGATGTATCTCCTTTTAAATCAAAGGATACATTGTTCATTTACTTTCTGTCCAATGCTGCCTCTTCGATTTCCGCAGTGCTCGCGTATCGGCAAAAAATTGCCCGGCAACCGGTGCATATCAGGTACACTCTCGAATTATCTTTCCTCGCCGTTTTTTTCTTTTTACGATTGCTAGTTTTTGCGATAGGCTAGATTTCAGTGGAAAGTAGCGCTGAATTTCCTCCACGAAATGAAACTGCTACTCCGTCCTCATAAATTATATCGTCGAGATGCCGGAAGAATATTCTTCATCTTCGTTTTTATTTATTTAATATTATTGTTATTGTTGTAATAAGAGATAATTTCTCATTATCCTTTTTGCAATCTTTGGACACTGTAAAATGTTGTGCCGAGGTGAACCAAGGCGCGTTTAACGAGTCGCCACGTACAATCTCGGACTGCCGATGCAACAACGTCTAGAGCAGCTCTAAACATTCGCTTCTCAATCTCTCTCTCTCTCTCTCTCTCTCTTTCTCCTAATAGACGCGATCCCTTTCGCGCGCATTATCGGCACGTTCGTCGCGCCTCCGACGCCCATTACGTTATACCGATTATGTAAATAGGAAGCGAGTATATTTCAGGAGTCGCCATGTCCTTCTCCTTCCTTACAGCTTATCTTCGCGTGAGTCTAGGCCGCCTCGCATAATGTCAACCAACGCGCGCATCGCTTTTTCCTTCTTTTTGCTAACCACGCAACGCCAGGTACGTGTGGAACGAGGTTAAATTAAATTGAAAGGCCACGTGCCCTGGTTCAATACTTAACTAATACTCGATAATTGAATTTAATATTCCGGGAAATCGACTGGGCTTGATGCACCACAGTCAGATAAGTCTAGAGGGTAGATTTTGTAATGTTGAATATTGCAAGTACTTTCATCGACTACTAATGTATTATGTTTCTCTAGCCATAATAGAGATTTGAATAAATAATTCATTAAAAAGTCATTCAAATTTATCATAAATTTGACAAAGTTCTCAACTACTATTGAACTAGAAAATATATTACGTTTTTATATTATACCTCGATAGCTCTCGACTACCAAGTATTCGATTACAAAGTGCTTTCGCACACATACTAACTCGCAAAGAGGGATGCGAGAGAGAGAGAGAGAGAGAGAGAGAGAGAGAGAGAGAAAAGTAATAATAAAATCTAAAAGTCAATATTCCAATTTTTCGTCAGTAAAGATTAATTAAATATGCAACAGCATTATACTATCTCCACTTGTTTAAAAAAACTTATATCATCCGTATTGTCTAATAATCAGTGTTTATTGAAATTAAAATCTCATAATTCAATTATGATAAAAGTTAAATTTTATTAATTATTAAATATTAGTTATTACAAAGCTGTCTGAATATTGTTTATAATATACGAATCGATTTATAATTCTTCGTTTTCCACTGCCAGCCGACATTCCATATACAATTTCGATAAAATTACAATAAAATACAAAGTATTAAACATCAATATTTGTTAAATGCAATGAGCTTGATAATAAAGCTTCGTAAACGCCATTAAAAATTTGATTTTTATAAGTATTGCTTGCCCCGATTTGTTTTGCTTTTTTTCACACTTTATATACGTATTTTCAGAAAAATATAAATATCTAATATTTACAAAGTTTCGTATTTCGTTCAACATCTTAAATAAAGATATTTCGTTATTCGTTAATTAAATAATTTCATGGATTCGCATAAACGAGCGCGTGGAATTTAAGCAACATTTTCAAGTGCAATCAATCAATACATCATCCAATTTATCTAAAACTGTGTGTATATATATATATATATATATTAACTTTCATATTTCCTCTCACATTGCATTAATAACATTCGTAGTAGTAGTTTATAATTGTAAATAAGAGAGGGCATTAAAAATTTGTATTTAAACGTGTCTTCATGAAATTCCATTTTCTTCAGATCCTCGTTAATACCGTAGCAATGAATCAAAACAATGGCTGCTCTTTTGTTCCGCCAGGAAAATTTCTAAATAGTGCAGATGATAACTCAAGAGTCGCCGCCGCATAAAAATGAAATTCTGCAGTACGTTGGATAAGTGCTTCACTCAACGTCTCTCTCCACGAATAGATTTGTAAAAATTATCAACGTCTAACGCTCGACCATAATAGTTGTTATTAATTGGCTCATCGGCTATTGCAGTCCCATAAATTCATTACTAATACAAAATTTAACGAAAAGCCAAATACGTCAAGGAAAATAGTGCGTCACTTACCAAGTATCGTGCCCGAGTACGAGTGATTTGTATCGAAATCGATAGACCCGTTTGTGCCCTCGAAAACCGCATCCTTCGAAAATAGTCCGGAATCACGCACCAAGCGCATCGTCCACTGTCTGAAAAATAAAAATCAACCCGTCAATGTTATTAAATGTTCTTATTCCATAATATGACGATCGTAAAATCTGTGATATAAATGGCAGGAAGAAAATTTGACTATAATATTGACGGACGAATGCGTTGCGAATGGTTCGCGAAAAAGGGATATTTTAGAAAAACTTGATGCTAATGGAATATTTGCATAAAGCTTGTTGTATGTACGCCGACGTTCCCAACGTTAATGAACAAACCGAGTTATAAAGAACGTTATATCCATATAAGTACTTATTCCGCATATACTTACGGCTATTTGATTTTGAAATGGAATCTTAATTTGCCTTTATATCCACATTTTCACGTTCAAATGTAAACATAATATTGCACGTTAAAAGCGTATGAGATGTTTGTTGTAATTATGCATAATGCATAATGCATATAATTCAATTATTGTTAAAATTTACGCTCTTTAATATCTTTAAAAATGCAATAATTATCGATTTGCGTTTTATATGAAATTATATATAGCGCTCGATCGTATATTGTAAAAAAAGAAAAAAAAAAAAGAAAAGAAGTTTAATTTACAATAAAAGGGCAATTGTTTTAAATATCAGTCAAAACAACGCGTAGCAAGCTTAATGTGAGTATTTCAAACCATACTGTTAAAGTATAAAATCGATGAATTAAACATCCATCATCGAGAGATTTTTTATACTAATGTTCATGATATATTATAGGATAAACTATAACTAAGGGATTTAAATAATACTTTAGTGCAGAGTAGAGAGAACGTGTAGTTTTCAACATACACAGAGTCCTCTATTCAGCCTCTATCCTCTATCCCGCCCACATTATATCGATTTCGATAACTTGTATATCTACCTTTAAACATTCAATTAATTGTTAACGACAGGATATTCTGTATTTATCTTAACTCATGGCACCTCAATGGTTGACGGACAGCCCTGCATTCCCATGTTGGTATTTAAAATAGTCGACGATTCACTTGGGCCTTCATCAAATGTAAAGGCACACTGATATATATATATATATAACTATTTTTACAATAATTGTGCTGTAAATATCAAATTTTACATTGGTGTCGACGCTTAAGTATAAAGATACATTTGCTCCGTTTTGAATGTCACTGTAATTTATATTCGCTAGTGTCCTTGGCTAATTTGATGTACTAAAATTATACGTCCGGGTGATTATCGAGTCCCTCCGGCTACGATAATTCTTGCTACTTACTAGCGCTTTCTTCACATTTTTATATTACTGATTTTTAAGTAAGAAATGCAGCCACGATGCAGAAATGATCGAATACATGTGATCGTATGTACGATCGTTGTTGCCTAATGTCAACGAGCCCGTGGAATTTGCGTGTCGCGACGATCCTCGCCATCCTGGCACTCGAATTTACCTAATCAGGTGGTAAAAGGTAGGCCGCGAACGTTGACGTCGCGATGCGCAAAAGGGAGCATTAGGAGTGGAGTTGCCAGGCCAAGAGAGACGTTGCCTCTCTGCATCTCCGGCCACCTCCAGTAAACTCCAATAAACTCCAATAAACTACACTCCATATCCTTTCAAACGGCAGTTTCATTTATTCGAATCGCGACACGCACCGCACTTCATTGTTAGAAACGTCTTGATCAACATCTTGATCAACGAGGTATTTAAAACGAAAATTCACGTCTTTATAACCGATGATTATTAATTTAACGTTTTAACTTTACGTAATTTCGTCATTTTCTGCCAGTACAAAATGAAGATATTAACAAAAAAAAAAAAAAAAAAAAAAAAAAAAAAAAAAACAACTTCTTAGATAGAAATACAGCTGCTTTGTCGCAATAGATTATTTTTGACCTAAAGGACGGATATTCGCAACCTTCTTCCATTATTAGTTTGAATCGGATCAACTTGAAAATTTAATAAGATATTGTCAAGGTCTTGGTAAATTCGATTATAAAACAAAAACAAACAAAGAAACAAAAAAAAAAAACAAACAAAAAGAAAGAAAGAAAAGAAAAAAAATTACAGCTACCCTTAAATACATTATTACTATAACAATTAACACATTACAAAGTTAAGAAAATATAGTTAAGTGATTGAGATGTTATTATAATTTCTAACAAATCATTAGAATTTGTATCAATTTATTGAAATGTGCATTCTATTGATACATGAATAAAATTTCTATTGATCTATTTCTTAAACCGAATATATGTAATAATTCGAAGTAATAAACTGTTAATAAGAGAAAAATTCTTTTTCAATCTAAGATTTATCGTTTAAATAAAAGAAAAGAAAAAGAAGACAAAGAAAACAGCAATATACTTATTTTGTTTGTTGCCTTGCGCGATAAACTAATGGTTTAAAAATTTCGACAACATCCAGTTAAAGTAGAAGGCGCAATAACTAACCCAATTCATTCCCAATATATAAAATTATTTTTAATATCTAATTTACTAGTTAGGCAATCGGAAGGATTAAGCGGATTAATTTTTATATTAACGCGCTTTATAATATTCAGAAGTACGTAATTTGGCATTAATTCGCTATAATTTTCAAACAAAACCGAAATCGAACGATGAATAAAATTTGTTTAAATGCACAGAAACGCATTCATCACTGCGCAATTTATCACATTACATTATCATTTATTAAATATTATCTACGCGCGCATAAAAGTTTAAAATATTCATCGAAAGTGATGGAATAAAACAAAGGGAAAATTGCATTTTTTGCTTTTTGTTTCTTGTACCTTATACCCTAGTACCTGTATACCTTTGTTCCTTAACCAAAAGTGCATTAATTTTGCGTAAATGTATGGATTATTAATGGAAGAAGGGAAGAAAAAATTGTAAGAAAATTCTCCAAAACATGTCCCATGCCGTAGTAAATCAATGAAAATTTGAGGAAGAATAATAGCCCGAAGGGTGTTGGTGTACCTTTGAATGTGCGTAATTTCGAAAAACAAATTCGCAAAATTGACGCTCGCCATGCAATATTATTTATCACTGCGCCTAACAAAAATGCTCCCATCGACATTTTAAAGTAACAAACAGTTGCGACGCCAAACAGCCAAGCATCATCAAAGCGCGGCCGTGGAAAAGGGACGAGCGGGCGGCAAAAGCGGCGTGACTCGCATGAATAATCAGGTTATAAAAAAGGTTAATACGGATACGATTAGAGCGAAACCGTAAAACTAAAATTTATATGCGGCAATTGTACCTTGACATGGAGCTCTTCTATACGTAGGTATTATCAGTGAAGCAAGCACGGCTTATTCGAAAGGTACATTGTTATGCGGGTTCGGCCGATCTGTTATCAAACTACCGTCTTTCATTGCCGCGGCCACGAGCGCAGCGCAATTGCATGACTCGGTTGAGAATTGCTTCGTTCGTGGGGCGATTCGCGTCAAGGTCGCAACGGGTCGCCGGCATCCCGCTAGATGAAGTCTGTAAATGACAGGGGCCGCGGGCCTCCAATCAGCAATCCGCTGACCGCGTCGATTCGTCCAACTCCTTGCAGCCTCGGCCAAATCCCCGATTCGCCGGCAGTTTATAGTGGCCCCGAGGGCGGACACAATCCCCTTGATTATCCCTGACGTTCCGCGGCTCTCGGGTCGCCTGCGACTAAAGTACCAACGCTCGTTCCGCTGCGCCTTCGCCGGATACGTCAAGTTGAAGTTTAGGGCGAGCCGGAGGAAGCCGTAGGGGCGCGGGGCCAAATGGCTTCGGATGTTCGGAACCGCGCGATCCGACGTAATTTCATAATGCGACTTCAAGCCCCTTGCTCCACTCTACCACCCACCATCCCACTCCACCAAATAATAGCATCAGTTGTCGGTAGCACGAGGCTTACGCGAAGATTTTCTAGTTTTTTTTTTCACTCGCGCACCTTGAGGTGACCGCAGCGACATATTCGACAAACTAACCGACCTTGCAATGCGATTGTGCTCGTGCGTATCTCGCGCTTTATGTCGTCTAACGCGTCTCGCAACAAATGGCAACAATCATCGCTCATTTTTCCCCATTTCCATTCCCCTTCTCTCTCTCTCTCTCTCTCTCTCTCTCTCTCTCTCTCTCACTTTTTTAACATAAAGCATCATTTTTTAGCTCTCAATCTTATGCCTATATCGTTCAAATGTTTTTCTTTCGTTTACGAGTACTTAGATCGCGCCGATGCATGGAAATGCTTAATTTAGCAACAATAACGTTAATTGCCTTGACTTGTTGTTGCTTTTCTGCCAGGCTCCATCGACTTAATCGGCGACCTGAATCGGCTTTTGCCAAGACCAATGGATAAGGGATAAGGGATGCGAAATGTGCGATGATAAATTCTCCCGGCATTAAGAGTTTGTCGACAGGATCGAATAAATCTTTCGTTAAAAGTTAAAAGCGTACGAGCGATTATTTTTGGATTACGTGACGAAACGAGCGAGAAAGCAAAGTTAATTCCCATGCTGACGAAATAAAAGCTCGAGCGAAAAAAAGCCGATGCGGGGGTTTACACGCGAGTTGCAAAATCCGGGAGCGCGCCACGTTATTTGGGTCAGGGGGCGCGAGTTGGTAAGCAGTGGCCGCTTGTCACCGTCGAGCAACAACAAAAACGCAAATCTTTGAACGTAGGCGCCTCAAGACACAAACGAGTTTATATGACGCGTGCGAATGTATGGGTGAGTTTACGCTCGAGTCCAGTCGAGCAATAATCTCGTTAAGCGTAGCGAATCGCGACTTTTCAATGTCAATTCTCTGGCTCATGCGAGTAAGGGAAACTTCAAAAGCCAAGATTATCCTTCGTATTATGCCAGGATGCGCGTAATGTGAATCTCGCGATTATTAATCGACAACTTGGTTACTACTTGCAAACCTTTGTTATTCTCGTCTAATAAAAATCGATGGCTTAATAGGTTAGAGGGACCGAGCTCGAGTACTTGTCGCACGCGTTCGTTGTCTTGCATGTTTCTGATTTTCCCGCAGTCGTCCAATCAGCCTCGCCATGTCTCTATTTCCAA